CAGCAATGAGAGGGCATTTTGGATAGTGGCTGTTTACACAAGATCAGGGGCGATGGTCACGGCATGTAATTACCGGTAGATGATCGACCAACGGATGAAATGTTTTGCATGTAAGATTGATTTGATTTTCACTAAGTTACTTCAATTACAGGATCGCCTATGCTTCCAGGAAACAGATGCTTCTGCACCAACAGTTAGTGCTATCTAGCTCTTAAGTTCAAAATGGTATCCTACTACGAATAATAGTCAAAACCGAAGTATGCCCATTCATAAATGCACGTTGCTTTTAAAGTTTTTCAACTTTAAAGCGGGTATTGTCACCACATGTGTTGAATAAGGTAAGATAATTTATCAGTGTTCAATTGATGCAATACACCTCACAACGAGGTGCGTTTAACCAAACTTCAGAGTGAGGCGGTACCCACTAACACCTTCCTCAAGAATGTTAAAAGACTTTTGTGTACACTAGGCAGAATGGGTTGTTCATTAAGAAAATTCAAGGTCTTAAGTGGCTTTGACTTAACTACTGTTACCATTTAAAATGCCGAACGCAATAAGCGTGCCTAATCTGAATATAATTAGTAGCACCTAAATGACTGTCGAAATCCAAGTTTTCGCACTCAAAATTTGGGCAATGAGGCCCCTGAGTGGAGTCTAGGTCAAATTTGGAACAAGAAAGAAGAATAATGATAACCAAAGCTTTACACCTTCCCATCACCATGATTAATTTTGGTCCGGTGGAATTTGCCTTTCGTGGAATTCGGGTGTCACCATGGGATTTGTGCTTTATGCTGGTTCCACATGTTTCAAAAGTGGTCACACATACGCAATACACCCTCCGGCCACATTCGACCGTCACATGCGTTTTTATTGCTACTTCGATTCTGCTGCATGATGCTTAGCTAGCTTCCACTCTCAAAAAGTTTGTACATTGTCCATCAGCCTTAAAAGCGTAAAGGCGAATCTGCAAGGGTTTCATACATGTTTCTTTTTTGTCAGTGAGGATATTTAATGTATCTACAATATGATAGTCGATTATGTATTTTACTTTAATCAAAATGCTTTAATGGAAGTTTCTGAAGCCACAAGAGAGCATTCAACGTCTTCATAGTTATGATGCTTTTAAGAGAATCTGAATAGTGAATGGATATATATCATGGGATGGTAAGTTGCAATATAAGTCAAAATATGATGAAATATTTACAGGTATTGTAACACATATTGACTGTTTAAATTGCATTTCATAGGAGAAGGGACAAATTTAATCCAAACGCAAGTGGAGTGTGAGGATCCTTATCGAGACTAGTTCGTATATCTTAGCTGTGTCCTTGCTTCTGCAGACTGCGCCTGCATAGCAGTGCTCAATAAATCGTCCCCAAACAATATCCTTTATCAGAAGGCAGAGATTAAGGACGAGGAGAGTGGAAGAGAATATGCTAACAACATCACTTAACTTTAAGATTTTAGCATTACTTCAATTAATTGATTTTTCACTTTTTTAACTTCGCTTCTGTGCCTTCATCGACTTGCATGTTTTCGTGGACTCAAACTTTCGCCAACCTTACTGACCCCAGTTTCAAATGCTGCTCCATCTGAAACGTCTCAAAATTTTTTTCTTCAGACAAAAGAATACATTAACTCTCATTTTATGAACGGTAGGCTAGCCAACCTTCTAAATGCAAGTGGGAACAATAATACATTTTACCTTGCATAAGCAATTATGCGTTGGCAAATATATCATGAAACTACTTTATCTGCATGATCAAAAGGGTCTGTTTTTGGTTCTTTGTACTTGGACCGACCCCAAGCGAAGACAAAAGAAGACGTAAAACACTTCTTCCTGATCAAGCTTTTGTAGTTGGGAAAAAAATGTTATTTTACTTAAGTCCTAGAATCAAGGAAATGTTAGAGGTAGGATCACCCATCGCCTCTTCTGAAGAGCATTTATCTTTTTAAGTAATTGTGGTTATACAAGGTGTTCACGCTGTAAAAACAAACTGGAATCATCAGCGAGAACACTAGTGTTCTGTTCAGAAGTAAAGAAATTCCTTTTGCCCGCTTAGAGGCTCGACGACTACATCGAAACCGCAGAAGAAGAGGGCGAGTGATAGAATGCCGAATTAGTCATTGGTTCCGGAAAAACGAAAAGGCAAACATATAAGCATTTCTTTTTTGCCAGAGAAAGAGGGAAGACACAAACCGATCAAAGAATTAGTTAATAAACAGCATTTCAAGTAACAAGTCGGTAAAGTAATTATAATTGCATTTTACTGACCAAAAAATCCTCAAAATCACATCATACAGTTACCAAACCAACTTGCCTGGAAGGCTCTGGAAACACAAATCCGATGAAGACTTGAGTTAAGAACTCCAAAGTGTCCGTCTCAGGCCTGCAGTCAGCCTTCACTTTCCTAAGTTGCGGAATGCGTCTAGTAACTATGGCTGTTCTTATGTGGTTCTTAGTCCATTCATATTGACCTTTAGGCGTTGCGGTCGAAAACGTTACTTATTCGCAATACTGACATACGATAGTACGCGAGCAACAAAATAAACATTCATCAATCTTCAGCCGGAGAAATCACCAATAGTGACGAGCTAATAGGCATTATCAAATATTACCCCAGTTTCCCGTACAAAAAAGAACTTTGACCCAAGTTTCTGCGCCATAAAGTGTAATTCGATGGACTTCAAAGCTAGGACGGTGGATGTCAGGTCTTCTTTAGGAATGAATTGAGATTAATTGCAAACAGTATTTACGGCTTGGGGGTGAAAGTGACATAACTTGATTGAATGTTAGCAGTGATGTTAAAAATATTTGGTAAATCTGCAGGCAGAAAATCGGAGTTGCCTTCTTCATCAGTATCATTAAAGTGGAAGTAAGGCCTAAGCTATAAGCAGAACTTGGTAAAAGATTTTTTTTTAATATTATGAACTTCTTTGCAAAAAGGATTCATGCCTTCACCAATTTATTTGATTATCTATGCACACCTCGTAAAAAACACTGTGGAGTACTTCGGAGAACAAGCAACAAGTAAATGAAGCAAGCAACCTCTGGAAGAAATGAAATCCAAGAAAGACCGCTGTTGTCAGTTTACACACAACGACTTCTCGATGATGATGCCACTAAAACGACTTTATAGCCCTTAATAGCAAAGAATAATGGTGTAAACAAAGCTGCCGAACGACCTACCAACCAAATTGTTTTATTGTTTAGTTATTTATTTTTAGTCCATACTACATTTGCAAATCTCTCGAGAAGAGCAGAGCGTAATATATATTCCAAATCCTCTTGTATTATGCCATTGCAGGCTACAATGCAGATAAGGGATAGCCTAGAGTAAGTTTAAATGCCATTATGTTCAGATCAGAAGATGAATGCATAGCTTAATTTCTTCAAGTTACCTCTCGAAATGTAGGCACAGCTCTAACGAAGTTTCCGCTCTCATCCTGCGGTGGTATCCAAAACACACGCAAATGCCTGTTATTGCAATGGACCGAGTAATTTCCGGGTAGTTGTGTGCACATAACCTTATGGGGATCCACATTCACCATCTTGTTGGTAGCGTGCGTCAGTAGGGCTTCAGAACCAAATACGTCGACATCGGCTGATATTCCCCCGATATGCTGCAGCAGAAGCTGCAGTAGCTGTAGTGGTAGCATCATCAACAACATCGGCGTCTTAGCACACTGGACTATGATTGGCCGGTGAGGTATCACTGTGGCACGCTGGCAGGCGATTCGAAGATGGTCATGTGTGCGTGCGTAGGCTTGCCAAGCTGTGCTGGGCATGGAAAAATACACGAAGCTTGCGGTAAAGGTAGAAGCAATGGGTCACAAATGGAACGGTGGAAAACAAGATTTGTGGTTTTGAACTTTTATTCAGATAGCTTAGATGGGCGTTGAAGCCTTAAGTTGTAGACATGATTGAAAGGACTGCTCGGTGTAACATGCACAAAAAAAATCCGTTGGATACATCTGCTTTAAATAATCTCTGTTGCATGGCAACCCAAAAGGTGTTTAATTCGCTGAAATTAAGCGGCTTGTTTAAAACGCCACTTAAATTCATGATTACTGTGAATACTGCAAATGTATGATGAAGGAGCCTGAAGACAGTCTCATATAGTTAATTTGAGAGAGACTAGATAGTCACCTTGGCAATTCTACACACCGTTGTAATTTGCAAGTCCTACCATAGTAACCGATACACATATACAGCGGGCGGATGGCGAAACAATGCTAGTGCATATGTGAGTGGAAGTGTGTGTGAAAGCCGAAAAGTTGTTGATGCTTTTATCTACGCTTGAACAGGGCCTAGCCTTTTGGGCCCACGGCAATGACATAAGCCCTTGGTGTTTTCGCGGATGCTGTTAAGATCTCTTGACGGAATTGGCTTCTAAGCACACTTTACAACACTCGACTCCGCCAATCTGACGTCAAGATGGAAGACTAGCCAAATGCCTGAAATTGTGGTGACTTAGATTACATAACAAAAGTTTAAAACCTCAGGTCGTCATTGGGATTGACAATGTAGTGGTTCGAGGTGGTCATGAGACTAAAACTCGTTCAGCCATTTCCTACAATGTATACTGTCCCGTTAACACTTTGTGGAACAATATTACCCCTCTTAACTCCGATACTTAATGCTGCTATACATATGTATGTGAGTATTTGTGGTAATCGTAGTCACCCGCTCTTGAGGTGACTGAAATGAGCACTAATACAAAATAATTTTATAAGCACCTACTACGGGTCCAACTTGTCATACGAGTCAAAATTAAGTGGATTAAGGCACTCGTTCCTGATGTATCGGATTCAGAATACGAATTCCAATAACTGGGCTCTCTGGTAGGTTTCGCCTTAATAGCACCAAAACCAGTTTTAATTGTAATAATCTGATAAAGTAGTGAGTTACCAAGTCGATTTCGCAACCTCTCCAAAGTGATGATAGTGTACAAGCCTGTGTCCAACTGCAGGTGCGTTGGGCAGATATTGAGATAGGTCATATGCTCTTGCCAAGATGTCTAGTTTACATGCTTTCTTAGGCTTGCATAATTAGGTCTTCCAGCCTTATTGGGGTCTGCGTTGAATCTAACTAAACTGTATCGTCCATGCCTCCCTTCTTGAAAAGCATTGCCACACTAGCTGCAGCATTGGAGACAGCACATGGCGAGGGCTAAGTTTTTGGTCGCTTGAAGCCATGATTCGGGTGACATGGGTTCACGCGAACGGAATTTACATACGGTATGAGGAAGGGGCGAAAATCTGCTGCAGTCTGCTGTGAACCTCAGACAAAGGTAAAGCATTTTAGCTGTCTTAAATATTATTAACTTATATCTTTCTACATCAACCACACATCCACTATAGCCTTAACTTTTCCATTGTCTGGCAACTATAGCCAAAATTGAAAAGCAAGGTGTGTCGACCACCATTTTTATTCTTGAGAAAATTTGAAAGTTGAAAATTATTCAGACACCTTGTATTTAAGTTTCTGTGGTCTAGATCGGAATTCCAGTCATTATCGGTGTCATTGAACTTGGATATAAAAAACATATCCATAGATCCATGAAATAATAGAAGAATGAGACAGAAATCAGGATCAGTCAACTGGTAATTTTGATCTTAATGCATCTGAAGGCAATGCTGTTAAGTCTTCAATGTTTTGGCTTGTTCAACCTGTGCTTGTCAAAGGTTCAAGGCATTTTTAGTTCCCCAATGATGGTTGACATCTTCGAAGTTCCTCAGCTGATTTGTAGCTGAGAGGGTATCACAATCACAACTTACGTACGGTTGTTATTAGCTCATGGGCATGAGCAAGTTGGACATCCTGTCCAAATTACAAAGCGCATTCGTTCCCGACACTTTATGGCAATCAACAATCTTGACTTTTCAGTGTTGGTAAAGTTATCCAAACAGCATTGACAAATAATATCCTTGAATCGAGAGGGGCGACTCACTGTAACGTATGGAAAATCGGCTTGAAAATCGGAATATAAATGCAGTTGAACAATTACAGACTTACTTAGCACTCCATTTCGAGGAGAGCGGTCATAAACCTCTACGAACTATCGAGTTCAAGATAGCTACCTCCATTGTTAGTTTATTGGACTCAGGGAGACTAGTTATAGCTAGAGGGGACTACGGTGTCCGATGCGAAGGTGTTACATGGCCGCTTTTAATCTGCCGCAAATTTTAGTAATGCTATTTCATATTTGCGTACACGAGTGAAGTTTTTGACAGTGGCTAAACCATAATATTGTTTTTTGTCAAAAAGTGACATTTATGACGGGGAAAAAGCACTTTTCTGATTTTGCCCCGCAAGATTTGGTGATATTTATGAATTGCACTTAATAATGGATAAGAGGAATCTATGCTAGGTTTGGATTTTTCATTTGCGTTATGGTGCATGCGAAAAGGAACCCAAAATTGATCGCCTGATATGGGTTTTTAGAGGATACGCGAGCGGATCCATAAATTCAATGATAACCTTCCACCTAGTGGATCCTCTTTGATCCTAAACGATGAAGGCCCTGCAAGTCTTTATTGCTTGCATCCTGTCGAAGTAGCCACCGTAATTAATTTAGAAAGCTCACTTCAAAAATATTAATGCAAAGTTAAAACTTTGAGCTTCATATCTTCAAAAAAGGCTTTGATTTAGCTAAGCTTAATAACATCTACAATACGATTGCATTTATTTGCGAATTAATTGCATTATTCAGGGTGCATATACAACCTTTAAAGTCATCTGTCCCTTTCTGTGTGGTTGCGATATCCCATCCACCCTTTTGTGGAGACTGTATACCTGGGACGCGAAGGCAGATCGTAGCATAGCTGCGATGTATGATGTATTTATAGCACCGAAGCAATGTTAACGCTGATTCAAGTCCGTGTAAATTGTGAAGTAGAAATGTCTAAGGAGAAGAAACCCAGCATTCTTACTGCGTGACATAAAAGTCTGGAAATAGGGGTAGCTACATTGAGGAAGGCTTATGATTCCACTTTTGTGCTTCCGATGGGCAGCTGGTCTACAAGCGATTCCTGTGACTTCTTGGTCGCTGCGTACGGTTGGAAATACATTTGCATTCTTAGCTTTGCGGTATCGTTCAAATGGATGTTGGACATCAAACAGCAATAATTATTCTTGTATGGTCAAATGACGTTCAGCAATGCGGTATAAAGCCATTCAGAACTTAATTCTATCGTATCACCTTTACCAAAGCTGGCCACGAAAACGGCGGAAATAATCTCAAAAAATAATAGTTTTTGCAATGTAGAAGTCCTTGTATTTTGCACACCAATGGTATATATTCTGCCACAGTGTTATGTCTTCGTTGACCTTCAAGGAGGTCTTCAACTTCTATGCTAAGAAGTGAGCCGAAGAAATTTGTATATTCCTTGGGTAAAAGTGTCGCATTTAGCGCAAACCTAAATTGGCATGCAAACGAATGGGAACAATGAGTTAGACTGCACTTTTTCTGTCGCAAAACCTACTCAAAGTTCAATAAAATAACACATTCACTGACGATCGTAACACGAGAGGCAAATTATTGTATTTTGAGAAAATGTTAGGTTTTTCATTCCCAACATGTCAAATCTTAAATATACACTCTACTTTTAACCACCATTTTGCCTAAACTTTATATGAAATTCTCGTGGGATAACAGTTATTTCAATTTTGTGAGGAGAACGAAAGCGGAAGCCTGGAAATTCTTCCTAACTATTCTGTGCCCAAAAGCCGCACGACACTATCAAATTTGTGACAAACTTTTCATATTTATCCGAATTCTAGGGGAGGATAAGATGCGATGCTAAAAAGAGTCAGCCGCAGTCCTCATGGTTATTTTTGAAAAAGTATGACCTGTTTTGCAAAATGGGTGTCTAAAATATCGTTCTCTTTAGTGAGAACTGTGGGAACTATGGTAACCAATGGCATTTTATATCAAGTGGTCTCAAAACGTAATTTATTTTATTTAGAAACCTAAGTATCTGGGTGACATTGTGATTCCAATTAATTTCCTATTGTTTTCCTTCCTTCTTAAGGTAGGATTAAGCAGAAGGAGTTTGGTTAGCTTGAGGTGTTCTATTTGGCACTAAAAATGTAAGGGTTTTAAGAACGGTTAAAAGTAACGAATTGTTTGTCCTCAGTCTGGGTCCGCACTATCTATCCTATCTACAAGCACAAGGTCCCAGTTTTCCTCTTCCCTCCTACCTACGATGCACAAATTGGGGTTATGAGTTTCACAACATTACAACATTACAACATTATTCTTTTAACGAGGTGTGACAACACACGGTGTCGAGGAAAGAGTGGTGATGCAACTGGACCCTTGGTAGTCATCTAGAAGATATAAGGCGTACCTCTTGCTGTCCGAAGTATAATAAATGTGCATAATCACGAGACCTGAATTCATGTTGTTAAGTGTTTTCCCTGCAGAGTAAATAAATTTCGTGCTACTCCGTAATCATATTCTGAAAATGTCAGTCTATTGGATTTATGAAAAGGGACCTAAAAGTTTACGCCCAACTAAAAGGAAATGCGACTTTAGGGCCAAGGATCAAGCGGCAAAATCAACTGCTTTAAGACTACGCGATTTTCCACCCTCGATTCAAATCCTAACAGGTAGCCTTTATGTAGATCTCATTGTGACGTGAAAGGAGAACCCATCAGTGAGTTGATACTGTAAAATATTTGTCATTTTCTGGTATTGAGTAACTAAGGGTCTGCATGATTAACACTCCTTGGAGCCTCCGCCAATGTACTGCCTACGGGCAGCCTTTCCTTCGTGCTGCGCTAATATACTTATTCCATTCCGCATGTCGACAAATCCCATTCTGGCCAGTTATATGGTCTCTTTCCTCTCCAGAACAATAAATTAGCACCGCTTATTACCAAAAGGCACTTTACCGCAGCTACGGCACATCTTTTGGGGTTCATACGTTCTCAGTTTTCCGTTAGAGGCTATTTTTACGAAATCTCGAATCCCAATATAACTCATACGCTTCCATGAAGACGAAGAGAAAGCAATATTCTTGAACAGCACATGAGTTTGGCGGATAGGAAGGACCTGCTGGTACCAGCAAGACCTTGTAACTAGTTCATGCTACGCGAAAGGTAAGAAGTAAAAAGCCCCTTTAGCCGAAACAGGAAGACTAACGGACAAAAACATTGTAACTTTCCTCACTAAAATACAAATTTGTATCCTAAAGTGGTTGCTTTAAATAAAATAAAGGGTCAAAACTATTCTGGGAGAAATGATTTACGTTGGGGAGGCCAAAGCGTTTAATTAAATAACTCTTGCCGTGTCGAGACTCCTTATGAAGATGGTGAGAAAAATCGTAAACTTCTACAGCAATTCGATGAGACGAGGATGTATTCACCACCATATTGGCGAATTGACTAAGCGATCGTCTTGGACCGCAGTAGACGGTTTCCATACTCTGCCTTTCGTAGACTGAGTTTGTGATCCATGGAGTGCCGAATAAAACCCTACGAAGTAACTATCTTCATAGGAACTTAAAGGGAAGGGTTTGGGAGCTAGAAAAGGAGGGGTTACTGCCCATGCTCATAAAGTCAATCCAGCGGCATATGATGAATGGTTACTAGGGCATAATTAAGAAAGACCGAGTGCAGTGGGTACATCATCGTCGCAACGTGAAACTCATCATCAACTGTGAGAGGGATAATTGTAAAATATACTAATATGTTTAAGTTGCCCTTATGGGGGCCAGTATCCTAACGCAGAGTGAGGCCAGACCGTCGACTTTTACATACCCGTACCCATTTCTATTCTATAAAGGATGCCTAATTAACCCTCTCCAACAATCTTCTTATGAAATGAGAGGTTCAGAAGCCAAAGGGGTGGGCTGGGAGGTCCTACAAGGGCATCCAACTCTACCACGAAAGTTTGTTTACAAAGTAAAATCTATGTTGTTGCAATGCAGTGCAACAATTTCAACTTATTCTATTTAACCAAAGTCAAGAATGCAAAGTTAGGTGGAAAAATCACAGGGAGGAATGGGCGAACTAGTCGGGTCGACAGCTTGGCTTTAAGGATTTGTCGCTTGATATTTAGCAAAAATCAATATTATTTAATGTTTAATTAACTAATGGCCATTAACGGAGGTTGTTGAGTGAGCCGGCTCCAGAATCATATCTGCAAACCAAATAATAACTTATTGAGCTGTTGAACTCTCATTCTTCCTTAAGAGGTTCTCAGGACCCCATAACTACAAGTGAGAGCAAAGGGAAATGGGCCATGTTAAAATGGCCAACACATTGCTTCATACGGAAATTTTGTTATTAATACTGTGATGCTTTGCTTTATGACTACTCGACGTTTGGCGGTCACTTTAGGATTTGTCTGGCCCTTGTACACGTGGGCTGGCCTTCGGGCCATGCTCAGGCCCATTTGCCCTGTCGTCTTCGGAATACATGTATCCAGCTGCATTTACTGACTCCTAATACCGGCTAGAAAGTCTCGGAACACTACAAATACTACACATACATCCTTAAAAGTTCGCTTATTAATGTGAACTTTATTGGGCTTCGTTCATAGGATACAATGTGCAACGAACGAAAAGGGTTATGAGGGTTAAGAAATAGGTGAGTAGTTAATATGATCTATAAAAACTGTTGACTCTGGAACAGGTCATATGCATCGCAAGTACCGTAACAGATTAGTTAATCATGTACAGTCATAAGTTGGGATTCCTTTGGAGTCCATTTTACTTCCGACGGATGGGATGGCCTGCGATCCAGTTTAGAGCCCCGCCTCTAAATATCATAACTAAGTACAAGTAATTTAGCTAGGTGCAGAGCCATAAAACATTAAATAGAAAACCTCAGAATTATACAAAAATAGGGCTTTAACTTAATACGCTTATCCCAAATTAGTCTTTAAATGAAATTTCTTAGTTGAAGTTGAACAGCAGGAAACCGAATTTTTGTTGATGTTGCAATATTTTGTTTGTGTGACCACCTGATGTCTGGTAATCACTTTAATATTTGTTCCGCACTTAAGCGAGTGGAGTGGTCTTCGGGCCGCCTCGGAGTCGTATACCTTATTTTCCTCCTAGATTACACGTTTACTGCCCAATGTGATACCTTTTTCAACTTGGTGGGAGGGCTTAAGAGCTACAGAGGCTCTCACGGAGGGTATCTGCAGTGAGGCGTTGTTTTCCTTAATTTTTCTTTTATAAAATTTCTAAAATGCATGTTGTGCTGCACTATAAAACAATATTGTCATCTACAGTAATGATAATGTTTGGAATATGGCTGTTTAATGGGCTTCTTTCTTATTCTCGTCACTTGTTTACATAAATGATGTTATGATTTGTGTTGGCGGGCGCGATTTTCGGAGTCACGTTATCCTTCCACGAGTCGTGAGGGCGATGCCACTCGCTCCATTGGTCGAGCCGTTCTCAGACGACAAAAAGAATGGGGTATCTAGTTTTCAAACGATAATGGGTTTTTCTAGCTAATTTCAATTGGAGAGTATGTGGACGACAAGGAGGTACTTTAAATGTATCAGATTATTAACGCAATTGACAGGCTTCTGATGATCACGAGACAGAGGTTGACATAGGATCTCTAAAAGTCAGTGATGGGAAAGTATCATCTGCAGACTTTGAGCTTCTTTCAGTCATTGGTCAGGGGTCTTTCGGGAAGGTAGATTGCTAATTACACGAGTTATATCTGCGTAGGTTTTCCTCGTTAAGAAGATCAGTGGGAAGGATAGTCAGACGGTGTACGCAATGAAGGTGCTGAAGAAGGCTGTGCTTAAAGGTTTGCTGCATTATGATTGCTAAATTTTCGTAGTGAAGGACCGTATGCGTTCGAAAACTGAACGGGATATATTAGCTAAAATGAAGCACCCGTTCATTGTCAGCCTAAATTATGGTGGGGATCAGTTTTGTGTTTTATCATCATTTTAGCATTCCAAACGGAAGGAAAAATTTACCTAATTTTAGAATTCGTTAAAGGGGGAGATTTGTTTTCTCGACTTGCCAAAGAGGTGCTCTTCTTGTGCTTACGTCCTCATACAAAATCCGTCGCATAATTATTGTTATCCTTTGCATTTTCGTTGTTTCAGCTCATGTTCACGGAACAGGATGTTATGTTTTATTTGGCTGAAATTGCAGTTGCTATTGACCATCTTCACAAACTTGGCATTGTTTACCGTGATCTCAAACCGGAAAAGTATGTATTCATCTTATCCAAGCGTTTTCTTTCTACTTCCTTTGTGTTACACTCGAGCGCTTTAGTCCTTCCACCGAATATACGCTATTTATGGAATTTACAATGGGCTTTGTGACATTGTGCTCTAGGTACTGTTTCTTACGTAATTCATATCGATCATCGACTTGTTTGCTTACCACTTTAGCATTCCAACTTGATCCCTGTGTGTTATGTATTGCGAGTGTACTGAAGCACTCCTGGTAGCCGCGCTCTTAAGAAGTCTCGGAAACTTGAGCCTTAGTAGCATCAATATAAATAACATTTTATATGCCGGATTGGCGACATATCAACTTGTTTTGAAATAGCTCTAGTAATAAATGGCGTTATTTATTCCCATTAAATCCTTTCTATCAATGATGTTTTTATTTAATTTAAAATTTGATTCTATCCCCTATTGTTGCGTGATTACTTCAAACCAGGTGCACAATTTGTCTTCTATAGTATCTCGATTCTGACAAACCATAACCCAATGCGGGTTGAAATGACAAGAAACCTGTTACTACCTAGTGTGTTAGGTTGCAACCGCCTCGGATCATCAATACTTATTTGCACGCGCTCACACCATACCAAACATGCAGCAGGCACACATATAACGTCATATGTAGTGTGCTAGAGAATCCTGTGCTGTAGTGAGTTTAATCTAGGCACCTCAGGGTGTATATGAAACTTTAATCATTTGTTAAGCTAGTGTACTAATTCATCATTTCAGTTCCCACTTGTCTACGTATCTTACTTGATAACGGCAAGGATGCAATTTTCGGCAATTATTAATGTTAAAAGCTCACTTATTGAAGTCATTTTTGAGGCGTTTTATTTGCATTCTAAGGAAGCTGTCTCCCCATAGATTTACTTGAACGGAAATTTGACGTGTTTTAACTGCTTATTGCTGATTGAACAGGTCTAGAGAAGGCCATTAACCTTTTCTCACAAATAACCTGTGATTTTGATGAAATGGTAATTCTTCTTTAAAGGAAGTATAAAAACGGTGAGTATTTTGGACTTTCCTTTCTGCCATGATTTTTGGGACCAAAAAAATACAATGAAAGTTGAGAATCCTTTTTTTCCGGCTCAGCTGCGGCCGAGAACTCTGTATTTTACCAGCATGTTATAAGCATAATCATCTCTCGCCATGTTTAAAAACATCGTCCTCTTGGTAACCTTGCCCTCTGGAACATGCCAGAATGGCAACGAAGACATTTTTGAAGGTTCGATTATAGCTCAGTGTGCATGCGTCTCTAGAAAAAATCGACCATTTCTACCCAATTTATCAAGTAGATAGTACTTTCCCAAGAAAATCACATTTGAGGCCAATTCACATGAAGTACGACATTTTACGCATTTGTGCGATAAAAGCAAATGGGAACCTTCTTGCAATGACACATTTTCCAATGCACACAACTTTATTAAAATTGTTTTATGCAGCCTCATGTTCGAAATTGTAACACCAATTTCCAGAATCAGGCAATTTTGCCAAAATCTATTTTCCATTGTAGCATTCAGGGCAGAAGCCTAGAGACTCTTCGCCTCCCATCTATGGTTCTTGTCCGTCTTACTTGTCGACCTACGAAAGCTATGTATTTGGGTGTCAGACGCACTATCTGCTATCGGAATGAGAGGCATCGCTTTACAATGGCTAAATGATTAGTTGGGTTAATGGATATAGCGTAGTCAATAGCACCGGTGTTACATAGGTGGATGTAGCTTCATTTTTGATGCTCCAAACGATTTATTTGGTCATTTTTTGCTCATCTTACTACTGGTAAAAAGTCGATGCTGAGTTTAACAGATACTCTACTCTCTTGACAGCTCAAAATTTGGCACTCAACAGTGGGGGTATAGTTTTCTGATACTTTTAAGCTACCTGACTAATCAGTTGTGAAAAAAATGCGGATTTTGCAAACCTTTAGCTTAAGGGCGATTGTTAACATCCGGGATGGATTCGATTAAGCCCAAATTCTTAATTAAGGCATAACTCTGAAATGGTCGCCTACTTCTGGTCGTTTGCTGTTAATAACTACATCTTGAATGTTCGATTGTTTGAAAATCCTTAAAACTTATAACAAAACTGAACACAGTGCTGCGGCTTTAAGCACTCACAAAACTCAGCGCCCACGTTTCGACCCACCCAAATTGATGATTTGCTGTTTGTATCTGCTTATCAGTCTTTCGATGGCTTCATGTTGGTCATACTCTTGTCACTGGGGAAATTGAGTGGCTAAAACTTTTAAGAATCTAGGATTTGAATTTGGGAACTCTTTGTTTGGCCAATGTAGTTTCATAGTTCGAAAACTATTGGCGATCGGTCTACTGACTCTTCGGTTGAAATACACCGGATTTTAATGAAGAATTTTCACTTCCTCTTCAACATGGAAACCCATTTCTAGATGTTGCGCATTAATGGTTGCACAATGATTTGGAAATTTTGCTTACCACTGTCTTACAAACCCTCACTAAAGTTGTTCCATGCCCTATGGCCATTATTACGTTTCACTCAAACTATTCTTTAAGCACTTTATTGCTATTGAAAGTAAAATGTTCAAGTCGCTTAAATGCTAATGTCACTGTCATTACGCCTTGCCTTAAAATCCCTAATTTTTCTGAGGCTGCTGTTTACATTAAATCTTCCCTTTATATTTCTCAAAATGAGTCCAACATAATCCATCACTGTTACAGGTTTTTGGACTCCATTGCTGTTTTAGGCGATTCACGATTTCGCTGAGCCAACTCCGCTTAACCTAGCTTCTCCCAAATATTGCATCTCAGTAATAGCGGCCTGTTACTGTTAACTTTTGTTTAATCCTATCTGCAGGAGTAAAAGTTGCTTCCCTTCCCCTCTCATAGAGCGTGTATTATTAACACAGCTAACAGGTAACGAAACAATTTACAGTTTTTGTGTGGAGCTTGCTACTGTGAATTGAGATAGTTGATGATATACTTCATCAAATAGAAGGGAGTTCATTTGAAGTGAATCCAAACATCTGCTTACCAAAGTCGCTGATATTATTATTGCTGCGCCTCTACAGTACTTTACGTGAGTCATGAAGCATACCTCTTAGGCTGCATGTCAGCTTGTGATACGAAACAGCTTTTGCATTGCAATGTTCATTGGGGAAATAGAAACATCATTGGTTATTTTTGAAAGACACATCCTCTTATCTCTATGGTGGAATGCGATTGAAATGTTCCGCCTCCCAAAGATTGTTTGAAATTGCGATTTATACAGGTCTATTTGATGTAGCTTTAACGTATACAAAGGTCTTTTGAGGTGGGCAAGACTAGCCAATTAGTAGGAAAAGGATTCAGCTCCTACCTTTGCACATCTTTCCTTTGAGGGCTTAGCCGCTTAAGGTTTTTACATCCCAAGATAATAATTAACTCTCATCTCTATATACCGGTGATAATGCTTCGCAAACTATTGATTGCCACCTAACCGTGACAATGGAAAGTAGGCCGTTAGCAAATGAAGTCAAGGCATGTGCGGAGGTGGCTGAATCCATTTGTTTGTCTGCCTCTGAGGACAAAAATGGGTCCCATACTTTCAGTTCTGGCAGACTTGTATTGCACATTGTACATTGCAATACTAAAAGTTATTATTATTATTGTTATTATCATTTGGCGTTGCTAAGAACATGTGCATCTTCAAATGCTTTGTTTTGCCATTATACTTCGCAATTTTTGAATTTTTATTATCTGAAAAATTTTACAAGTCCTTTTTAGTTGATTAAAAACCCTGTAAGTTGTAGTAAAACATTATCATTGTTCCATGTCTGAAATGTTTGCTAGGTTTCAAAGTGGTCGTCACAAATATTCAAAGGCGAATTTACTCGTTAATCGCAAAATGGCTTTGGATCTCACATAACCATTATTGAGTCGATTCTGTTTATCTTTGTCCATTAGCATTCTTCTGACAGAGGAGGGGCACATTAAGCTGACAGACTTTGGTTTGTCGAAGGAGGCTCTATACGATGGCATCGACGGCTCCAAATCTTATTCCTTTTGCGGAACTGTGGAGTACATGGCGCCTGAAATCGTCACTCGTCGTGGGCATGGTCCAGCTGCTGATTGGTGGAGCTTTGGTGTCCTCATGTATGAAATGCTTACTGGCACATTGCCATTTCATGCCGATTCGAAGAAGGAGACCATGTCACAGATTATGAAGTGAGCTGCATAAATTTTGCATTAATTTTCGTAGACCTGAGCTAATTTGAATCAACGCCATCCGCTAGCATTATTTGTAGTGCAGCCTGTAGCTCATACGTGCTTGCTTAGAAGGAGCAAATGCTTCCAAACTCATGGAATTCATCTTTCCTTCCGTAGCTCATAGGGGATAAATTCGCAACCCTACTTAGTAGCCATAAAAGTAAAAATTGTAAATTGTTCCCCAAGGAAAACCAGTCATGGGATTTCTGGAATTGCGATTTGTTGGACTTGAGTCACCATTTTGCTACTCCCTCGCCACGGTTCTACTTTTGGAAGCTCCTCTCGAAGGTGTTTTGGTGCTATTGCAATTCGATAAAATCGTTTCGGATTAAATTGTTAACGCATTTGTGGTTCGCACGTTGGACCTGTGTTTTCGCTCCAAATCAAGTGTAATTTGTACTTCACATGGGCTATCCACCTTTGCATTATCCGCCTAATTTCTGATTACTTAGTTATTACGGCGTATTTTTTCTGATAACTACTGAAAACATTTATCTGAAAACGCTCATTTGTCACTAAGAGTCTGTGGTAGTTTTTGAAGCCCATTTCAAAAGCGCATACGCGTGCAGTCTCCCTCTGCATTTCCGGTTGGAATGTACGTCCTACAACTGCATAATATGCAAATTACAAAATCGGCAGAGGTAAACAAAACAATTGTTCTTCCAGTCGCCTTACGATTGGTTTAAAGAGCTTGTATTTGGAATCACAACAGGGCAAAACTTGATGCATTGGCCTAGGAAGCTTTTATTCCAGGAAACGTGGAAACCTCGCGGAACAATGTGGAGTATTACAAGGGAAATAAACGATTTTAAGGGTGTCTCACGTACCGTTGTTGCTTTTAAATCCTTTAAACCATAGTGAAAGAACGCAGATAAGCTATACCTCTGTGTACCTTAAAGTCGAAGCTGACTCCTTCATCCAAATCATTTTCATCCCTTAATTAATGACTTAGATTCATCTGAAAAATCCTGTAAATTGGGTCATTCCGCCGGTAAGCTGATATATCTTTAGGGTTTACATCTGCATTTGCATTTCCATTGTTTAATGAATAGTCTTCGATAGATTTTTCATTAAAAAATACTTCGATTGCCGTTTCATTTTGTTTTCCTGAGCTGCCAGGCCTAACTTTATCTATTTAAAAATATGGTAACGTTGACGTTGTATGCATGGAAAGTTTTACTAATTCGCGGACCAACTGGCCGTTTGATCCATTACCGAACAAGGTTGAGGATGGGCTCTTCACTCATTTTTGATTTGTCAATTTGCGGGAAATCGTTTAGAATAATTTTCCCGATTTTTTCAAAAGAAGGCTAGGTAGTTTACTACGCTAAAGGGCGGGCACTTTCACCCTGCAGTGTTCCACATAGATTTAAAGGGTATTTTGTTTACTTTGCTCAGCCTAAGCATTTTCTGTAAGCTCTTGTTCCTCAGTTGTTAAATTTAAAAATTTAATGCAAACAACGAATTGGAAGTTAGCGGTTTGAGTTTTTTAACTGTCCGAAGTTCACAATGCGAAAACTTCTAACCATAACACTTAGGGCTTTTGCACATTTATTGTTTGCTAAGTTCTTACTTTTCAAAAACAAGGCGTCTGGACTTCGTCCTCCAGTACTTAAAATTCAAGATGTATGCGTTCTAAATGTGATGATATCTGAATTTTAAAGTGGCAGAAATTTATAGTATTCGCAAATTTATATCGCCTGTCCTAAAAGCTTTTTATATGTTGGCAACCGAATTTGGTAAACATAACCCCATTGGGTTAAGAGTATTTTTAATTAAATCAATGCTACCAAAATGATGTTTAGAATTTAAGTTATCATTGTTCACAATCTTTCGTTTTGTTTTTATCAACCAAGTGAAACGCAAGTGGCAAGAAATTCGCTTAAAATCACATTCGCTTAATCGTAGTGATAATACTTGTTACTGGAATTTTAGTGGAGATTAGGGCAATTACGCATTAAAGTGATTTTAAAAAATGAATGCTATTTTGAATGTGACCGAAGGAGTTTATTCGAGGAGCTAATAATGGATTTAAACTGCATTAATCTCCCATTTGTTAAAATAATTGCAAGTGTGAGTTGTAATCTCGATAAAGCGGAACATCAGTTGGCTACGAACAGTTTTTTTGCAAACATTATTAGATTTGGTCTCAAAAAATCTAAATTCAGTTGCTTTCGTTATATTTTGCCCAAATCCCACCCCTTTCGTCTACGACTGTTCAAAACCAAGATGAGTAGCATCATGCAACAAATTGTTGTGTAGGCAATGTGGAAGTTCAGGGGGTATCGTCCTCACGTATGGAATGGAACCCCATCGCGGAAGGCTAGAACTAGCTACTTCATGTTCGATTTGCGTTATACTGATGTACCCTAGTCCAATTTCCCGTTGGACCTTTGGGGAGTGATTTCACTCCGTCTAGCATTCATACACTCAAATGAGTTATCTCTTGAAAACTAAGTTGGTGTTAGGGTTTCAGTCTAAGTAGATTAGTAGAAATGGTAATTACTACCAATAACTTGCTTCATGGGCCTCCTAAACTGAAACCTCCTTCCTTCCATAGGTTATTTTCAAAAATTCGTGCTTTCGTGCCTTGTATGAACGAATTGTTGAACAATAAGTTGACGGTTTTGGTATCATATTGCCCCAAGGGAATGCATATGACTTGTGTGTGCTCAGTTTTTTACTTCATTTTATGGATGTTCTAATGGATTGTTTTGTCATTTCCTTAAGCAATCACATTGCAGCAAATCGCTACTAACACGCTGGCAGGTGTTCATTTTGACGTGGCAAAAGCATCACCTGATTTTTCATTGATATCAAGCTTTTGAGCTGTGAATGTGACATATCCATCGCTGGTTGACTCAACACCAAATCTGTGTGCTTAAGTTCTTCTGTAGCTTTTATGTCGGGTCACGCACGAGTTATAGAGTAGACAGGTTTAAACTACTGCCGCCTGATTTGTTTGACAGATGTGGGTCAAGGTGGTCGAAACGGAACAAGACCACAGTAGACACCGCTGTTCATGAATAAATTGCGTTTTAGAACTCTGAGTTGGGATATTCCAACCCACTATGGTATACTTTGAATTTTTTGTCCACTTGGTAAATGATATCTTTGATAATTGCTAGAAATTGGTGAAACATGAGACGAATTCCCAGCTATTTGTCAACATCTCCACTATTTATTAGACATTTTAATAATTGTTAATTTCAAAGGTCTGCAAAATTTGGTTGCTTAATTATTTTCTCTTAAGGTTAATAGGTCTGGTTCATAAAACAGGCGATTTCGGACTCATTCTCGATTGCCTTTAAAACATCTAGGAAGTGTGTATTAAGTTGTTTTTCCTTGCATCTCATTGACCGGAATGACGTTCCGCTTCGCATTAAGCACTTGTTTGTGATCAGTAGCTAATAGAACTGGATTTGCACATAGACCTTGGAATTTGGCGATAACATTTTTATCGAGTAACTTGCCTTCTGTCTTCAAGTTTTGCATTCGAATAACCTCGGTAATGTGACTCTAGTCAGGTCGCTTTAGACTTGTACAAGGTAACAGCCACGCTTTCCAAAACCGGCTCTGTACTTCTCCCTCTAGCGAATCGAATGGACGATTCGTATTCACTGTGCCCATTAAGCGTTAAATTTTATTGCCACAGTGACTGCAGACTTTAGCTCATGTCACATTTTTAATGAGTCGCTGGCAGCACGTTATCATTTATGCAGTACATCTTATCAATTTAAGACCTGGCACGACCACTGCATGGTTCATTTATCCGAATTTTTCGGGGTTTGTTACTATGCAAATACAAGAACGTGGAATCTTTTTGTGAACTTGAAACATTTTACCTATCTTTTTTATAAACAGCTAACTTAATTTGATAGGCTTTTTCTTGACCACTGAATAGTTGATTTATGGTACTGAGGACCAAGAAGACTACTAATTTTGAGCTAATTTTGATAATTTGTCTTTTCTGATTCCTGGAATAAGAACGTTTTGCGACCCAATGATGGTAGACAATCGTTTGGATGCCATTTCGACGGATCACCACCTCGGGCACCATCATCTGTAGTCTGAAATTAAATGAATCACCGATCAGACGTTGTGACCTCTACCCTTTTCATGAGAGCAGCCACTTTTTAAGTTACTTTAAATTGACGTTCTTCTTGGCGAAATACTTCATATCCATTTAATGTATCAGGGTTATCGACGTCAAAAGATAAAGCAAACACTGGATAAATACCGCTTTATTATACCGTGTTATCGTCTAAATTGTTCTAGATTTAGACTGTATATTTGATAACAACAATCTGGTTTTCTTATGCGTGGCTGCTAGAAATTTCACTCGTCATCTTCATTTATTCAGAAAACATTTTAAAACCTTTAATTAGTTTTTTCAGTTATTTTTTATGCCTACTTTTGTGTTTGTTGAATATTGGTGCTTCTTCTGCCCTGCATCTAATGTAAGCGTTTCGGCAACCAAACAAATGATTCACAAACTGTTTCCGGAAGTGTTGTCATTATTTCGCTACGATCTTTGTTAATCTAACCATCTCATGCACTGAATCACTGTTGTCCATTGACAGTGCAAAGATTGCGTGGCATTTTCTTGAGGTCAGTTGTTCACATATTTTTCGCACAGCAAGTAAATCATTATCTACAAGGAATTGCTGAAACTTTCTCCCCATTTCATCGTCGATAAAAGAAGAGAAAGCGCTTACGCCCTACCTTCTTCGACTGGCTCCACAAATCAGTTTTGACTGAAATGCTTCTCCCCGAACGGTGGCGTACAATGTTTCTTTTGTCACTTTAATGTTACTGATCAAATTCTTCCTCACACAATTTCTAAATCTGTTGCTACTCAAAGTTCATGGTCATCTCTCCTATCTTCAATTAACATGCATTTCCATCTTAATGCCTCAAATCGTGCAAAAATTTGAATAATTTATCTGTTCATTTGAGTGGAACATCAGATGCCCTTTTCATTTGGTAAAGGAATTCATCTGGTAAGACTTGGAATTGTCTGTCCTCATTATTTATCATCGCCTAGGGTTCTAGGTATTTTTCGCAAATTAGTTTCACTGCGGCTTAAAAAAGCAACAAGGAACTAAATTTTACCCGATTACGTTAATACAGTTAAATGTCTATTCTGAGCTGCCTTCGTTTGTAGTTGTAGTGAGTCCCTTCAACGCTGAAATAATGCACGAGCATTAATCTTAATAAATAATGACCTGTGCTACCCGAAATATGAGAGCACTATTAGATTGATGGCTGTCGAATCCAAACAGGGAGTGTTCTGCCCTCAGGAGTAAATTTGAATTATTAGTCCTAATTCTTTGGTCCGTGAAGATGAGTCATTTTTATCTAAAAGGAAACTAACCGGCTTGACAAACTATCTTACCCTTTTAAACGTGGCAAGATCGTTAAACTATTTTTAATTTTAAGTACCAAAAAGAGGTTGGTTTGCCAAGATTTTCGTGCTTTTCTCAGGTGAGATTGATTAATGGCATCAAGAATTTGACTTCCTTAACTCCTGAAAAGTAAGGTGCTGGCATGTTTATCCGCTTGGTAACAAGAAGCTCAGCAGTGTTGACATTTAGAAACGAGAAGGCAGTGTCTTTGCCGATCTTAGTCCCGTCGGTCTTACTTTTTGAGTGGTGAATGGGGTATGGGCACAACCGAACAATTGAAATCCCGGAGTTAATGTACGTTGATAAACGAGACAGCTAAAGTGAAGTTCACTGGTGTTAAAGTCGCCAATTTTGTATTTCAAAGCCGTTAAACTATTCATTTAATTCTTAATACAGTGCAAACTAGTTTGTTACTCTTTTTATAGGTCCTAATGCAACATCAAATGGTGAGATTGAATGACGACTACAAGTAAAGTTTTGTTTCAGCAATTTCTGGAGGTCAGGCGTTGTTAAATAACTTCCTTATGCTCCCAATCTTGTGGCTATCCTCCAATTAATGAGTCATTGATTTCTCTCATTCTGTTCTTTTTCATGGCATTTTCACATGGAGAATATTGACATGTTCCTTTTCCATTTAACGAACCTATAAGAGTAGCTTTTTGAATTTCGGCTAACTGTAGTGAATTCTACTGGTAAAATCCCCGCTAGGTCGTAATTTAAATTGTAAAATAGTTATCTTGTGGATGTTAGGTAGAGCTTTCCATGAGTTCCATTTTTTTGTTGCTTGCGTTTGAATGTTTATTGGATTCGACCGAATTGAGTAGGATATTTGAAGCATGAAACGTGCGGCACCTTATAAAGTGGCGGAGTTGTTAGGACATGAGAGGCGCTTGAGTGTTGAAATGGCTCTTAGTGATCTCGACTGAAATTTGTTGGAGTAGTTTGTCTTTGTTCATTCGAGGTCAGAGATGTGCTCTCTTTCACTCCAGAGGAATGAATCCAACCATTAAACGCGCTCCATCGGCGATTACTTAAAAAGTCTCCTAGTGATTGCGAAATTTCTACTCTGCGATTTGCATTTAGCAGTGACGTTTCTTCAACAATTAGTGGTATTTATGTTATTATTATTGTGTAGATTTTTGACATAACTATATATGCATCTTCCCTGTTATTGCTCTAAGGATTTACTTTCCTTTTTCATATTAGGAGTAAGCTTCTATTCATTTACCCCTTTCACATTTGTTTAGAGCGAAACTTGAAATGCCTCAGATGCTGAGTCCTGGGGCACAGGGTCTTTTGCGACAGCTTTTCAAGAGAACACCAGCCAACCGTCTCGGTGAGTTAGCAGTGAGGGTTATTCACTTCCTTCTGACGTTTAATGATAAACTGGTTTGGTCGCTGATACTGACTGAATGCGCTTTCAGAGTATCGAATCCCCTTTAATTTTAGCATAGCATCCTGTGCTCCTTTTCAACTTCCCATAATTTTTACACTAGAGACTTATCTTTGACAAACAATTTTCATCGCATTTTGAACGGAAAAGCAGTTTCGTGTAGTTTGATAAATTGAAGAAGTCAATGATGCATGTTGATTTCAATTTTAACCTGCTTTCAGACGGTGGCATTTTATGCAACCGGTGATATCTGTTGAGGGCGAAAATCCAAGTCGACGATTCGTAGCTTTTGACGCATAGAAGAGATTTTTTGATTCGCAGCAATTATTTCTCGATTCTTTTGTCTAGCATTCCACCTATACCAATAAACTTTACCTCAGAAGTCGTCCGTACTGTCAGTTCTTGATAGTAAATATTGACAGATCGTACTGCTGGTGAATACCTTTGAAATTGATGTTTCGCATTGTTTCAAGTAGTTTCGCAGACACTGGTTTTGATGAAAAATATTGGCGTGATGAGGTCTAACAATTTTTAAGTACGTCAACTTTCTACCAGTTAATGCCACTACATCGGGAATTTGTGAATGTGGGAGGCATGTGGTTAAACTTCGCCTTGGTTTTCCATTTCAACTAACTTGGAATCTCCTTTATTGTGCTCACAATTGAAGCCCTCAAATCACCTTATGAAAAATAAAATAACATGATATTTTTAAAACTGAATTTTCTATTAAATACAATTCGGTTGTGATCATGGGCGTGTAATGCTTACATCAAAATATTTTCATCCGGCTTCTTATGTCTGTGCTTCTATCATCCATCTCCCTCCAACCAAGTTGTTCTAGGGTAACTTGCGGCATATTTTCTGCCAATTTTATCACATCTTAGCCGGATGTTACCAAAATCTTGCCTTCAAAATGCATCCTGTCGTTTCCCAGTAAACTAACTGTTTAATGTGTGCGCAGCTCTTGATCACTCATTTTGAATAATTGTCATAGGCACGCGGATTGGAATTTAGGCATTGTGTTTCAGGAAATCACATAAGGAGAAGGGGCTGGACATTAGATGCACTTTCAGCCTTCTCACTGGTGTCGTGCTTTTTTCTGCTTGGAAAGATTATTGTTATTCACTTGCTATCTTTTGCTTCTGCTATAGATAAGCCCTTTTTTATTTTATGATTGCAAGAATTTATGGACGCGACAATGTTGGCCTGACTATTAGTAAATTCAAAACGATTGGAAAGTAAGCTTGTTGAGAGTAGAGGGGGCCTAAATTAATACGACTTTGCAAATTAATTTGGCACTCTTATTTGGACATTGAAGTCAATTTTTAGACGAAAAAATAGCCGTATCGGTGGAACTTACTTGTAGAGCGGTAAATTATCTTATTCCTAATTCTTCCAAAGCATAATTTGCTATTCCGCTATCTAAGCCTAAACTAAAAACGGAAAATGGAATAAACAATTTTGAGTTGGCAAAGTTTGTCATCGTTTTACCAGTATCTTTAGTTTTACTATGAATACACAGCTTACTAGCAAGTAAAAGCAGTTGTTTGCCAATGATGCAGCAGACGAACGTCAGCCTTATTCCATAAATTTTTGCTGTTTCGAACAAATAGAGGATTGATGGTTATGCTTTTAACAGGATATGGACCAGACGGCTTTAAGAAGTTACAGGCACACGAATTTTTCCAGCCAATAAATTGGACTGACCTTGTTAATCTGAGGATCACGCCGCCGTTCAAACCCACCTGCATGTTGGACAACCTGGCATTCAATTTCGATAAGGAGTACACCAACAGGACACCAAAAGGTCTCTTGCGTAGCACTAACAGAAGCTCTATTTCGGGTTTTCTTTCCTACAATTCTCCGTTCATGTTCCTTCAGATTCACCAGCATCGCCACCTAGCGCTTCAGCTCACGAACTCTTCCGTGGGTTCAGTTACGTCGCTCCATTCCTTATGGACAAGCAGTCAGATGGGATCCAATTCCGTCATCTAGATGCGGGTGAGTAGACTTTTTTGGATAGATTGAATTCGCTTCCAGTCGACTATAATGTGAGTTCATAAACCCTTTTATAAATTGTTTACTTTGTCACTATACCATGTACTCAATTTACGTTTGACAACAAAAGTGGCATAGATCTGAAGTGACAGACAGCGACATCTGCTTTTCATTATTCCTCTTCAACTCATGGGTGAAGCGTTTAGAGCTGCATCATGATGCACTAGCTTAAGACATGGTAAGAACGTTGATAGTCTGGTCCTCTTTTTCCTCTGCTAGACTCTGTAGATGATTTGCATATTTGCTTGACCTTGAATCCACCCAACCAGCAGATCCATAATGGCTTTATGATTCCTTTAATTCGATCACCAGACTGCCGTTTTGGTTTTTGGTCATAAGGCTGTTTCACTTAAATCTCAAAATGTCCCTTGCCGCAATTAGAAACGCGCTCTTAAAAGTCGGGGTGCCTTTGGTAAATGGTGGTACTGCAACATAATGCGACTATAACCCTATTGAAATCCCCATGATTGTATTTATTTTCATTTCGATCCCTATAGTTGACACACAAATGAGCTCTTACCTCTGGATTAAGTAATAACGAAATGGTCCCCTGTTATGAAAGGACATAAATCGTAGCACCTCATTTTGTCAAACCACTTCGAAGTATTCCTATCCTACGAGGGCCTTTTGAAATAAATTTGGATCTTGGAGTTAATCATAGAGCTCCAACTTATGGGCGATTTTTATGTTGTTCACATAACCGGTCAACCCCACATTTACATATGTGCTGTGGTGCTTAGCCGATGCGTGCAAAGCTTTGATATGGACAAATATTTCGATGTGACTGAACCATTCTCGGAGAGCCTGCTTTGGTATTTTGACACCAAGCAGTCTAACAAATTTTTGCAATAGATCATGTTCACAGTTGTTTCAGAAACATCGGCTGTATTCACTTTAGTTGTCAGTTATGCATTGGTCAAACAACCTGAATCCACTACTAAATGCGCCGACTTCAATATCAGCATGGCTAAGTACGATTATCAGATCTTTCTTATGTGACGTATCCCGGGCTTTGAAGCGTATCTCGGTCACATGACGCTGTGGGTAAGCAGCCTGTTGCTATGATGTGTTTTATTACGCTGATACAATTATACGTGGGCGTTACGTCATCATCCACTGCAAACTGCATGCATAAATCTCTACTTTTGTCTGTTGGGTATCAGTAGTAGGTTTCACATACAACTTACTAGTGGGTATTGTATTGCGCATATGGCATCCTTTTTGTTTTATTGTAATAACATTCAAAAGCTAACCTTTTATCCGAATACCTTGGCTTGCATGTTTTCCTTTAGGATCGAAGACTAGGTATACTTCCAATTTAAGGCGCATCAGCGGTGTTAAGTTCAAGGAATTTCACGGTGACTACCAAATACTTGAGGAGATTGGAAAGGGGTCCTATTCCACGGCTTACAAGTGCAAACAAAACTCGACCGGTAACGTTTGCGCTGTCAAGGTGAGAACTATCGTTTTCAGCAGATTTTTTCGCAATTAAGTGTCGGTGTATGTTCGGACTTGAGTTATTTTTTTCAATCTTTTGCAATTCTTGTGCTGAAGGATTAACAAGGCAGTGATTTCAAGCTGTGTATCGTAGGTGTGAGATAGAATTTCATTGCTGTTATTTTTTTGGGAGCTAATTATTATGAATATAAAATCTCGACTTGTTTCCCATAATTGGAAAAGGGGAATTTTACACTGAGAATTCCGACAGGAACTAATAAATAAATACTTCTCGCTACCGAATGCAGTGTGGTTTTAGACCACACCGTGGCGGCAATGGCAATTAATTACCTTATTTCATTGTTTATTTATTTTCAAGCAGGTTAGAGTTCTTGCTCTTAATTAAGTTGTTTTGATTCTCTACAAAATGTATGAGTTAGAAAGAGCTTATTTGGTCCTGTGGAACTTGGAACATTTTTTATATTAATTTATGCTAAAATGGGGAACTGCGTCCGAACTCATGGCTGCATGTTTAAAAGGTGCGATCGAGATGACAAAGTAGATCATGCTTAGGCGAAACAAATTCTTTCTCTTTTGTTATTATGGCTTAGTTAATACTAAACACAGTGTCTAAGATTAACTTTTCGTTTAAGACCAGAAATTGAGACTCTTTAAAGTCGTTTTCGCGACTTGTCATCGTTTCGCGGATTCTTTTTGCCTGAGGCCAACCCATTACCACAGAAAGCAAAGCACGAATTTCACAAGCTATGCAAATATTACCCGCTATCTTTTCTATTTTGACACATTATCTCGGTTATTTCGTCCTCTTGCTGGTGAACTTTGAATTCGAACGATAGTTCACCAATTTACCATAACTTCATATGGGGAAAGATTTACCAGTCTTTTCACAGCAATAGTTCATTATCATCGATTAATCGCTTATAACACTTACACAATCAAGTTATTTGTATAATAATAATAATAATAGATGTCTCGAACAATTTCAGTTAAATCTAATTAAATTATGCAGTAAACATTCTCAAGCTCTAGTCAAATTTACAAGCTCTTTGTCAAAACTCAGCTTAGGCGTTTTGCCTTATTCTAGACATATCTCTTTACTCTTATCTTAAGCGCCGCATCGACACTTTGGTTGTTTCATTACTATTGCTTAGAACTATCTAACAATGTGTAAGTGTGCTTCCTTCAATGGCTTATTGTGAGAGTCATCAAACATAATTTGCTCCAGGCCACTCACTAACAGAGAAATTGACAGTAGTTTGTTTCCTTGCCTGTAGATTATCGATGAAACGCTGCATGATCCAACGGAGGAGGTTCAAATTCTTCTGCGATTCAAAGGCGTGCCTAATATTGTTACTCTTCGAGACGTAAGCCCCTTATTTTATCGTGTTTAATATTTCAAGAATTTGTAAAAAAAAATGGTCGGAAGACGCTTCAAAATTGGAATAAAAGGCGCAAAATCAACCCAAGAACACAGCACAAAATATAGTGGCCGCTGCTGGGCTTCTTCAGAAGTTTCATTAGTTTGTGAAAATAAGTAATCTCCAAGACAAAGTAAAAATAAGCCCTTTGAATCATCCGTTTTTAGGTGGTGTAGAACTTTTATTTAATATTTACCTCAACGAAACTGTTCGTTGGATAAACCCATTGGAACAACCTTCACTTGTCTGAAATGCTCCCTAATCCTCGTAAAATCTTGTCTAAGATGACACGATCCATAGTCCGTTTTTTGTGTCTGCCCGAATCTTCTATATTTTCTTTCTGGTGGCACCGTGCCCGTCGCACCGCTACAATTTATTGTCATTCAGGCATTCATAAAATCATGTTTAGCTCTGCACAAATCGCTTTGTACCCTCAGTTGTAGGACAATAGTTCATCAGCAATGTAGAGAAGTGGGTGAGGTACGCCTAATGTGAATTGATATCTCTCACACCAAAAAGGTGGTGGGACCCCCTAACGATTGCCGTTTTATTGGGATGCATTGCTAAACGAATAAGATGAACTCCACTTTACCCAAGATACGGCTGAAGTGCCGTAAGCGAACAAAATGTGGCTTAGCAACACGTTACACGACATTGCTTTAATGGGTAATAAATGCTTAGCACAGCAATAGCTTATTTGAAAGGATTAAGAACTGTTTGCCTTCATTGCTTGACCATACCAAAATTTCTACTTCTAACGTCTGTATTATATAACAGACTGCTATTGCTAGAACGCATGCCTGCTCAAGTGTCTTTGTGTACGAACTTTTCGCATTAAATCTTTCAGTTTATGTAGCTAGTATTTGTTTGGGTATTTTTTGAAAGTTCATTTATCGAAAAATTTTCATTTGCGCTCAACTGATACAACATTTTGCTTCTATTTTAATAATCAAGTAAAAGCTTCCTTCCTAGCTCATTAAAGAGCTTACGAAGACTTGCTTACTTTAAGGGTCGAATTTTAAACAAGAGTATTTTCAGGTCTTCACTCGTACAACCTGATCTGTTTCTGCGTTAGGCTAGGGTGAACTATGTTTCATCTTTGCTAAAATGTCAAAAAGCATTCTCCTATGAACAACTTCCTTTTCTCAGCTGAAGAAGTGTGAACCGCATCAAAATCGGCAGCATTTTCGTAGAAGATGAGCTATATGCGCATCACCTCAAAGCTCAAGTATCACAGTTTGGAAACTTGACCATTTTTAATTTAACTTGGTGTACAGATCGATCTCTAGTCATTCACGTTTCTTTACTTGCGATTCCCCTAAACGATATGTTATGGTAGATCTATTCCATTTACGAACATCAAATGATGTCCCTTAGGTCCAATAGAGAAAGGAGAACAGTCTATCTTAGCTATAGCCTTTCGTCTATAAATTGAAGGGACGTATGATTAAATTCATTGTTAGAAACATCTGATTGCTGCATTCCATTCCCTTGCCTTCGAGTGGTATCGTTATCTTCCACTTGACCGATATTAAAATCACTCCTCTTTTCTGCGACATGCCTTTGCGGTTAGTTGGCCTTTGCATTGCCAATGAATGCATATAGAACTGTCTCTTTCAGACGCAAGGCCATTTGGTTAACAAATAGTAGTAATTTAATTACTATCATGGGGATAATGTTCTGACAGTGTTCAGCTCCCTATCTGTGACTAACTTAGGCATAGAGGAGACATCTTTTGTTTACACTATTGATGCCTTCACAATAAGCACCTGGATCAGGTCTGTGGGGAAAATACGACATCGGTTAGACCTTGTGTAATCTCAGTTGTTATTCCCTGTTTTGAGGAACACGAGATTTGAGTGGTCGACAAAGCAGGCGTGGGTAATTTTTCGGCTGTGTTCATAGGCATCGTTTGGGCAAGCACAGTAGCTGCATTTCTACTATGTCATTCGAGTTTGACAACAAACCAAAAGGAGGATCATACCTTGCTTGACGTCATCGATCTAGCGCCTCGGTTTTTTCCCTTAAGCTGTGCCAAGTGATGCTAAACTAAAGGAATGTTTATCAGTATTGTACGGAGTCCGGGACATCATAAAAGTGGTCGGTGACTTCAAAAATTCATTTTTTGGGAAACTTTTTCATCGAAGTCTTTTTTATTCTCAATTAATTAATAAAATTTTGTTTGTTTCAAAACAAAAATACAATAACTCGTTTTCAGACATTCGCTCAAAGATCAACCGACTTTCCTCGATACAGAAATAATCCCTTTTCTATCTTCGTTTAGTTGGTATGAATAAGATTATAAGCACGAAGTCACGAAATACACTTGAACCTTCATGCCTAATGAACTGTTCATTTGAATGCGAGCGGAACGCTTTGCCAGTAATGATGGATAATGAACATTACTCTTCTAAAAACGTGACTTGCTTCCTATTTTTATAGGTCTATGAATGTGATGGCAAAGTCTATCTTGTAACGGATTATCTGTCTGGAGGCGAATTGTTCGACAAAATCATGCGTCATAAATTCTTCTCTGAAAAAGAGGCCAGTTCCGTCTTGGAAGTTCTCGCCCGAACACTTGACATTCTTCATCGACAGATGGTATATGGCGCGGTTGGCCTTTGTGCAAATTTAATTCCGAATCTTGATTAACCCATTTTCCTATTTTAGGTCGTTCATCGAGACTTGAAACCTTCAAACATTCTCTATGCAGACTCTACCTGCACTCCAGAAAGCATTCGTATTTGTGATTTTGGCTTCGCCAAACAATTGAGAGCAGAAAACGGCTTACTGATGACGCCTTGCTATACTGCCCAATTCGCAGCTCCAGAGGCATGTTTTTTTTCAACGTAAACAGTCTGCTTATAATGATTTAGTAGGCTTATTATTCTGGGTTGTCCTAGGTTCTGAAAATGCAGGGTTATCATATGGCCTGTGATATTTGGAGTTTGGGAATTCTACTGCATACAATGCTAACGGGTCGAATCCCCTTTGCAACCGGTCCAAATGATCCTCCTGAAGTGATTCTTCAGAGAATTGAGATAGGGCCACCGCAACTTACAGATCCATGTTGGAGCTCAGTATCGGATGCTGCAAAGGTGAAAGAAGATGGAAACTTCTTACATTCCGTTAACCATATAGCTGTCAAACACAATGTTAAATTTCCTCTATTTAGGCGTAAATATACCTAACTTGATGCATTTTAACACAACTTTTAGTACTTGGTTCTCAGTATGCTCAATGTTGATCCATCGAAGCGGCCCACAGCATCTGAAATTCTAAAGGATCCTTGGATCAAAAACCGAACCTCCCTTTCAGCCCATCCATCCTACTCCCTCCAGCTGCCAGATGCTCAAACTGTCAAGGTAAGGGAGGAATGCGGTTTAAATGCAGAATGTGTTGAATAAATAAATCATTCGAGCTCACATTTTATTGCTTCTCATCCGCAGAACCTAAAGTTTCAGTCACATGTTCACCGTTCTGCGAGTGTATGCCTTTTTAAGAGTATCTTAAGTATTATCCCGGATTCCTTATTTTCGGATTTGTGTGTTCTCTATTTGATCTTGCCTCATGGGTGTCATTAAGAGTACTGGTGGATGAAGAGTCTGAGTGATATATTTTCTTTGGGATAATGCTACGTGTTGGCGAGAATGTGAAGCGGAACACCCAGGTAACTGGGGCGGAGTGTTTCACGGGCGGCTTTTTTATTTTGGCATAACCCCTACGCCTTAGGGACGTTGACCACCCACTTCGTAAATGACGTCATTAACTCACATTCCACGTGTTCTAATTCAGAGCGTTTTTTTTTCCAAAACGTTCAAAGTAGCACTATCTTTTGAGAAGCTTGGAGTACCCTGCCAAGTACGATTTTACAATCACTGATTAGCAATGTGGAAATTCATTCTTATGCAAGCGTTTTTCACTTAACGCATTTGTGACTGTACAATTTCGATGCAGTATGACAACTAAAAAATAAAAATAGGATTCCGTCCACGTTTGACCAAGTACTATCGAAATTAGAAAATGAACTTTAGTAGAGTGTGAGTTTGATGCCATCGGACCAAAAATTCAAGAAAAATTCAGGTACTAAAGCCTACTAGCTGGGTAGTAGGGTATGTTTGAGGACATTGTTAATCGATATCACTGTAAGGTATGCTACCGGGAAATAACGTGTTTTTATATCTAGTTACCGTGATGTAGGGGTCTTCTTAAACTTAACTATTCGAACCTCTATGGCAGCTTCGGCTTCATTACCGCAATGAGCAGTTCTTCATCTTCAACACAATAAAGCAATTTTTGTTGCTAGTTTGAAGTCAGCGTTCAACCCATTTCATTTTTAACTTCTTCGAAAAGGCTACTGTAGCGGGATTTTTCAAGGCCCTGAAAACAAGTCCTCGTACAGAGTTGGAGCCTGTGGGAGCATCTTTCTTGGCCCAGCGACGAGGACGGCAAAAGCCCACCACGACATCCACTAACGGCAGCTAGTTCTGTCCTGAACATAAAAGGAATCGAAACCGTCCTCTTGTTTACCGATCCTCCTCTATCTGTGATGAAGCTCTGAAATGTTTACAGCTTTTCTTTTTTTGCATATATATTTTGCACTAATATCACATTTTCTTGAACTTAAACTAATATGTTTTACTTTTAATGAGGGGAGTTTTTGAAATTAGTGTTTTCTCTGTTTATTTTCCTGTCGGGTGAACATATGTGCTAATAAGCTGGAAATATTCTCTCTACTTGACCCCAAACTAGATGATGCTATATAATCTCAACTCTTTGCCATAAATTTAAAAACATTGGATTTCCATGTGTTGAAGACGATTGCCACTATTCACTGAACCATGCGTCAGTAGTATTTAAATGTACATTCTTAAACTCTTCTAAGCCAATCAGAGTAGAATGTAACGAGCAACGAAGCAGACGGCGAATTCGGTTCAAATTTATAGCAAAAGGTAATTTTAGAGTAGAGGAGCATTTTAAGTCTTGATAATATCTCATTGACGTTTGGACGTCTTCAGGTGGGCTGTCTGTTGTTCCTTCAAACCGTTACTTCACAAGGATGGTATTAAGGCTCGTTTGCACCCGTCATTGCTTCAAAGTCCCTTTGAGCCCGCCCTCTGCTAGTTGAAGTACGTTATCAGGTTTATGAAATAAAATAGCTATCTTTTAGAAGAGGGAGACTGAAATTCGCTCCTAAAAAAGCTGTCTTGTGGGTCATTTAGAGACCGTTCAATTTGTCGGTTAATAATGAAACGTGATGAAAGCTAGGCGGTTCTTCAACAACTTCATAACATTACGGGCGATATGGACCAGGAGTAAGCAGCATATAGTTGTTGGAGCGTTTTATTTACCTGATTCGCGTGTTCTGTGCAACAAAAACATTGGAGAATGTGACCCTGAATAGCTGAGGATGAATTAGTTCTTTCGAACACATTTTCTTTGTGCTTACATCGTAGGTTCCGAGGTACCAAATTCACTTGGCTATATGACGTTATTCGTTTCATTTAATTAGGGAGGAGCAGAGTTGTGGGCTTGGATCTGCCTCACTGAATGGCATCGCAAAAATATTCACAACTAACCGATAGATTGTAAAGCATTTCACTTATGTATCAGTAAGCTACCTGTTTGCATTTCACTTATTTGCTAATCGAGAGGATTTTGTGTGCTGAATTTGGCCTGTTTTATTTAAAATACAATCAATGTCTGGGTGATTAAGTCAATTCAGAATGAAAAGTTTGCAAAACCGTAGCTCACATATCGTTATGTTATACGAAGGCAAGTTCAGATATAGTAGAAACCTTAACCCGAATAATGAAAATACAGGAACTTTGGGTGAGAAGATCCCACTCACCTGCCGACTGGATCGTTGTAATCCTGGGATGGGATAGTGGTTAAGTGTGCCGCTAAGGGTCGTCAACCAGGTGGAGGAAATTCCAGCCAATGCAGGGTTGATAAATTTTTATAAATGCTAGTTTGAGGTTTTAGGTATCTTTCTTTGAATGGGTTTCGGAGCCCGGTGAAACTCATGCGCGTATATGTACCCTGGTTGGAAACTATTTAAGCACTTTACGTAATGATCTATCGAGCATACATGAGTAAGTAGTCAGAGAATGCCGATGAATCACATTTCAATCTTTGTGATACGCAAAATTTCGCATCGTTTTCTAGTATGACATTAACACCATTTGTAACAATAAGTTTTGCATCAAGGGCCAAAGTCCAGCACACGTCTCAGGGTGCTCGTGGCCTATTGGTTGGTCGGAGATAGGTGCACCAAGGCTATATTCTCAACGGCTTCCTTTTTATTTTGAGCGCACTTCTGGTTCCCGTAAGTCCGACTATCTTTTCCTAACTCCATTTCACATCGCTTTGATGATGAATAAAGGTTTAGCTTAACATTTGCTCATCTGTTTGTCAGAGGCAGTTAACTCCAAACAGTTGATAGCCGATTAAATATTAAGAAATTCTGTCCAGGCAAATTATCAACTATTTTTTTATGAAATGGATTAAAGTCGTTGACGCCAATAGGAAATAAGGTGTGTATTTTAAACCTTAATTGCTACACACCTGTCCATTTATTTAACTCAAAATTGCGATGAATATCGTGTTACCATTTTAGGTTAGTTCTGAGCTATTTCTCTGAAATGGAGGCGCTATCGCCCAAACAGAGACTAATTCTAGCCGGAATGAAGTGTAATTCCCTACCGAAAATTGCAAAGGTGAATGTAGAAGTACACGAAATTGGCAGTAATAGCTTGACCCGATCTGAGAGTTTGGCAAACAAAAATCTTGTGCCCTCCTCCCTATCGCCAAGTGCAAAAAGTGAAAGAGGTGAGTGATTCTTGTAACAGGCTTGTTTATCTTGCCAATGTACTACTTCCTTTCTGCCCGGTACATCGTGTTAAACAAATCTGGGATTTCAAACATTCACGCACATATAACAGAGCAGTAATGCTTAAAAATATTAACTTATTTTATTGTCTTTATTTCTAAAATTCACTCCCACTGCCTTTGTTTTTCCTACCGCAAGTGGAAAGTTTTGAGAACAAAACGAACGCAAGCATTTTAAAATCGAATGAATGCATAATCATACCTGTGATTGAAAGGGAAGTGCGACGTAGATCTAATTTACTGTGAGACTAGGGTCTATTATATGTCGTCAAAGGGCGTGACATTGATGCGCTATTGACATTAATGACCGGAAGTTGGTAACTCAGCTGAAATAAACAAGCAGTCGTAGTAGGTAAAAAGTAAATCGACTAAGTATGTTCTGTAGCACTTGATGGGAACTGTTGAAAGTCCTACCATCGGTGCTACCAAACTTAAACGTTGGCATGATAAACCGACGTCTTATGCAGCTACAACATGTTTTTTTTTCAATTCGAGTTCGTTTTCCGTTTTCGTAACCACCTCTTAAAATAGTGTTTTACTTACCGACGAAGGATGCGCCACTCCTACAGCTAAAGACACAATAACTCATCTACTAGTCGTCAACGTCTGACTACGGCTGACGATAAATTTGTGACCAGTTTTTAGATTTTATTTTCATTAGTACTCAGTGCAATAAGTCTCCTAGTTTAGCTTCCTAACCCGCGATTTTAAATAAGTTTGTAATGATGGATTAAAAGAAGCCAGTCTCCAGCCCAACGGTAGCTTTAAACGCCTCAACTTTAGTCCGCAGTCGTCACTCAAATGCTCACAACATATCACGAGGTTAGCAATAAGTCAAATGCTATACGAATATTTTACATCCGACATTCTAAACATACCTTTTGTAAAATTGGTAATCTGCTATAAAATTTACAGCCAATGATTTATAAAGTTGGCTAACACAGTTGCTCTAGCGTCCGACCGTGTTTCATTTAGAGTAGCTAAAGGACTTTCATGGATGGTACATCAACCGTACCACTCGTAGAGTGTATCGTGCCGAGACTTCCCAAGAAGCAGAAGGCGTTGGGTAGGGCTGAACGCTTTTATTCAGAGGGAAGAGGAAGAGGACGGGCTTTAGCTTGATCTGCAGGCTATCCCACGCAGCCGAGAGCAAGATGCATACCAAAGTGACCACCAGTCTTACACGTAGTCAAATAAGCAAAATATTGCATGGAGTGACTGGAACCTAATGCGTTTGTTTTTCTATGATATCATATTTTTAAACTTCATTGTGAGTTTTGCAATATCCTAGCCATAGATATCACTTAAAGCTGACTTTAATAAAAGCAGATTGGTTTCCCTTGAAGTGCTTTTTTTCCATCGGCTTATTTCTATAGCTTTGTTTTCTTCGTAAACTCTTCCTTTAGTTTGCCAAATTTCACCCTTAGTCATAGCAGAAAAAATCACTTAGCAATTTCAGATCTAAAGGAAAAATTTAGAAAATGTGACTATTTTTCCCCTTTTATCTTCCACAGTTTGATAAAAATGAGAAGCACCATATATTGTTGGAGACATTCAATCAACTCCTAAAGCAGGCAATTTGTCATTAGAAATCGGGCATTTTTAAGCTCCTTACCACCACCATCATAAATACTTACGCGCGTTTGAAAATGTTCCACTAAAATGAATTCGAGACAATTTTTTATGCCTGTATCATCAATTTTTAACTCAACTTGTAGGCCCTCAACTTTATTTAGGCATGGCATCACACCTTAAGTCAGTTTATATCTTAAGTTTATTCCCTTCATTGCTTGTATTACAGTTCATCGAGCGCATTCCCTTTACACTATCGCAGCCACAGGAAGCAATGAGTATCGATCGAATGCGCTAGTTAACCTCTTGACCTCAACCTCACGAAACACACCTGTGGAATACGATATCTTTGATCCATCGGAGGAGGACGTCCCCCCAACCCCCTCCATTTCTGTCAGCCAACTAGCCACTGGACCAGGATCGAAATCCAGTTGGCGTATTGGCATGGTAGTGGTGGGCGTTTTGCTGGCCTTCATTGTGCTCACTGTCATCATTCTGACCATCTACTTTGTGAAGAGGTAAACCAAAGGAGTAACAGTTCAATTGCCATCAATATACTTCCCATTCCCCCTTTTAAAAGCACAAATAAGTTTTCAAATTTAAAAGTTGTTGGTAGTAGTCATTGCAACTATTTGAGGCTCGTAAAAGTGAGCTTTAGGAGTAGTTTTATCACATCACTAGTGCTTTGATTTTTAGCCGTTGAATCATATATCAGTAGCATGTTAAAAACAGAAATGTATGCAACATCCTTGTGATGGTCATCAACACAGCTTCTATGTGTTAACCTCTTCTTTTAGCAGTATCTCTCAGTCACGAATGATAGTTAAAATATGGGTTCATTAGCCTAGGCCTTATATCATGTGTATTAGACCGATACTACAGTCCAAAGTGTAAAATGATCAAAAGTTAAAATGTTCTGGATATCAAGCATTAAAATTGAGATGAACAGTGGGTCTGCCAACATGAAGAAACCACTAGTACCTACATGAAGTTGTGCTGCTAACTTTTAAATTTCAACGTGTGCTCGGAAAAGAGGACTAAAATAGACTTTTCGGAAGCGGTGGAGTTATCCAGAAGCAACAATATCAAGCGATTTTCGTCTATTATCTCCCATCCCTCACATCTTCTCACATCATTAAAAATGGTGCCCGAATGAAATTTCCGTGTTGAGGACTCGTTTACTTTTACCTATGTGAAACTGTATGTATGTATGTTTTGGGACTGCTTTACATGAATTGTGCAGTTATATGGACTGCATGCAAAGGAGCTGAGTCCTGCTGGTGTAAGTAAAATATTTAGTTTGGAAACCACGTCAAACTTCCACATGTAGCTTGCAGCATTAGCTTGAACATATTTCTAGAAATGCGGAATGCTAGGACACCTTATTATTGCTTTGTGATTCCGATGAATCTCAATGTCACACCGACCTTAAGAGCGGATTCTTCTTCTGCGGATTCTCGGGATACAGTTGCATGGTCACTGTGGTTGACAGCTGGAATTTAAGAATGCAAAGTATCTCAATTATTTCATTTAAATTGTAGGTAGGTGAATTTTTTATGATAAGAACTGCGATTCGTGACTGCAATGAGCGGTCTTAAGCCATGGCAGTTACAGTCGTCTTAAGTTAGTGCATTATTCTTACAGCTTTATTGCATATTATAAAAAAACTAGGACTTAGTTGAATCACATATATGACACCAAAATATTTTAGTGTTGTTTTCAAATTTGGGGCATCATAAATACGGTATTAAGTGGTGCTCTTATTTAGATTGCATATTTAACTAAATGCTTTGTAACTTCTCCATTGTGTTCCCATTTGTAGAGAAGAGTTTGGTTCCACAGAACAACTCGTTGGATACGAACTTACTGTGATGAATCGAAACAAGGTGTAACCACTTCATTGGAGAACTTCACAGTCCATACAGCAATAAAATGTTCGCTTACCTTCAGGACCAAAATTCAAGACTTGGAGTACCTTTCTACTCTTGCATACGCATTTTTACTGATATCAATTTGGAAGGATTATGCTTATAGGTCTAACGAATCTTTTTGAATACAATTATGCACAAAAACGGGTGTAGGCCAAATTTGTGTAAAGTTAAACAGAGACAGAATCTTTTGACATGTTTGAAGGAGACATTCCAAAAGCCTGGTTATAGGATAATTTGTCGTGTTGTCAAAAATGGGTGATGCGGTTTTAATTTGAACTCGGCATGAACTGTTGAATGGAATGAACCTTGCCAATCTATATTTTTTCATTGACCTTCACCAGTCACATTTGGTTGAGCAAATGAGTCCCAAAAAAGCAACGAATGTATCATGTTACTCGAAAAATCGGACCGACTGTTTGATTGCAGAAGGTGAAGTACGAACTAGCATGATATCACTTATCTCTAGAAGGACTGCATGATAGGTAAAGCAATTGTCGTTGGGGCAGCAATTCTTGTTGTCAAATAAAAGGCATTTTTCAACTGAATTCGTTACATCTGACCAGTAGACAATTACGGATGTGTTTGGCACAAATATTTATTCGAAAAATCTCCTCTTCGAATATATTAGGATCAGCCAATCAGCGTAGTAAGAAGTACATCCCCTTTCCTCAAGGTAGTCCAAGTCATCTTGATTTTATTTGGCGCACCACATTTTTAGTTCGGCAAAATAGAGGGATGCAAATTCACTGGATGGAAGCCTATGCCACATTTGACCAGGTCTAGAAATTAGAGGACAAATAATGTCTTAAAAGAGCAAGTATTTATAATTCTGCGTCTGGTAAAGGCACAGTTTAGTGCAAGCGCTTGCTCTGTCTATTATTAAAATTGGAGGATTTTCCTGCACTTGTCATCGTGCTCGAACAAAAGCGCATTGTTTTGATAAGAAGTTGTACAATTGACGGCAAAATAACATTAATTAAGCGTTTAAAAGCATTTGGTTATCGCAAAGGCTGTCATTTTTCCAATTCATAAAACATTATCAGAGCAGTACCACTGTAATATGAACTTGAATTACAAAATGCAAATATAAATCACAGCTACATAACCTGAAATCTTTAATGGTAATTGTAGTACACGGTCAATTTGGGTTTGTCTTGCCTTTGTACTCATGGGATGGCCTCGATGGCCACGTTGCGAGAAGTCTTAGAGCGTCACAAAAAACTTCACTTCTTTTAAAATGCACCGGTTTGGTCGCAAATTCCCATTGGTGTTGTCTTTTACTACACCTCTTCAACACAGGGTGACTGATGGTGCTGCAGAAGTGGTAGCCATCAGCCTAAATAAAGTGAGGTCATTGAATGTGTAAGTCGTGTAGCATTCGCTACGTTTCCTCAAGAGTTTATTTAAGTTTGTTTTTAAAAATGTCAGCGATCCACAATCGTCTTACAATAGGCTCGACAGAAATGGTTGTCACGGGCGAGGAAGCGTAGAAAAATGGATCAAACTTTGCTATTTCTGTAGACACACAGAATAAAACTAAGTATGTGTTTTGGCAATGTCAAAGTTGCCGGTGGTACAGACAGTAGAGCCACTCTTCCACAAAAAACGGTATGCAAATGAGGACATGGTACTTAAAATGAGCAATAATGGTGTCTTAAAATTCGTATATTACCATTGTTGGTAATCTGGAGAAAGCTTCGAATAACTCTGAACATAACAAATTCTAAATCAAATTGTTAGTATGCAATTATGTTGAATTTTGATTTAAACGCTTGTACAGTTTGACTTGTGCTTAAAACTCAAGATGTTGCATTTAGAAAGACAGTATAATTACAATAAGGATCTGACTAAAGTAAACAGTGGCACTCATTTTCATTAACTATTTTTTATACCCATAATTGTCCCTCAAGGGGTTGCGCGTTGGATAACAGAATGCATTATTAATCAGTAGATCCGGGGAACATTGGCGTACCTCCTAAAATCCAATGTGATACTTTGTGATTTTAAAGTCAATCGTTGACGCATATCTCAACCACTAGCGACTTGCATGATTTAGTCGCTAGTACAAAAAATAAATCTCCAAAAGGGATAAACATATGAGAATTTCAACTACTACTTAAAACTCAATAATCACAACCATAAAATTAAACAAATAAAGTAATCTTAAAAGGTTTCATAAATGCTTCTTCAAAGGGACTAATTGAATGTGGGATGGCAACGCAAGTTTAGCACGGCGTCACCAAATTTAATATTTCCATTTCCACCTATGAGCAACGCGTATGAGAGCAAGTAGTTGCAGCAGTACAAAACCGACACTACAAAAGCTCTCCTGAAGGCAGCTCACATCGCCATTGAATCGCATTTATTCTGAGTATCGAAACATACAAAAATTGTTCATAGACCTGACTAACCACCTTATATTTTATTCAAAAAAAATTTTAAATCTCAACAGGATCATGACGTACACTCTTCTAGTAAAGGTGAAGCGGAGACGCCACAGACCTAAATGGCTGTGCAACTTGGTTGCTGGAAATAATTGCCTGTTGTTTTATTAAAGCAATCACCTCGGTAGCGAAGTGCAGTGTCAGAAACTTTCGAAATCGCATCGTAGCTAAAAAGCGTGCAGCGGTAGACAGTTTTGTTGTTATCGCGGACATCAGAGAATGACGAAACACTTTAGAATGAAGTAATTTGAGGACAAAGCGCTCTAATATTCGGCATTCTGCAGTGTTGGAGGTGAAAAAGTGTGTGGTGTCCAGTATCTGGACATTATTAATGAAGGAAGTTGAGACCGATCCAGTTAAGCAGGTTAGTCTAATACAAGTGGTACACATTGATGTTGGTAAATGATATCGTACCTGAAAGAGCATGAATTCGATCACTTTCTTCACCTCCTTCGAAGGTGCGAATATTTGGCTGCCCTAACTGAAACTTTAACTGTTAGATCGTACTAGTAGTACAAAAAATTAGCCGCAAATACGAGGGAGTTGTAAGTGATTGGTGCCTGAGCAATTTGGCCATTGCGATGAGTAAGTGTCTGAAATGTCGTCAAGGTGTTTGTATACAATTTGTAACTGCTGTGAGATAAGCAGCTTCTGGAAATAACAAGGTGAAGTGTCAAACAGAATATCAGGCAGCATGCTTAAGTATCTCTCAAAGGGTAAAGTGACTTAGTTACAATGGACATGGACCAGTGAAAAAAGAAGATAAAGTGTCCTCATAGCTCCATTAATTTCCTCGCAGCAACCGACTTTGGCGACCTACGAAATACTTAGGTAATGTCGATGGTTGTCATCAGACTCTACAAGGATAAAAAGAGTGAAAAAGTAGAGCAACGCTATTGCAACT